GGGGCGCTGCCCGAGCGGGGCGCAGGGCTGCGGTCCGCGTGCCGGAGTTTGGCTGGGGCTCCGCTCCGCGCTCAGTGTCACCGGCACCTGCCTACCAGGCGCTCAGTCTGCATTTGGGGGCTGGATACGCGGGAAGTGCCGCTGAGCGCGTTGGTCCCTGTCCTTTTACGGTTTTCAGGTCATAGGGCCCACTACGAACCCCATATAATCTCTTCATTTCCTGCTCTTAATAAGGGAAGAGAAAACCCAGTCTTATAACGTGAGCGTGGTAAGGGAATAATAAAGAGTGGGATGAGGGACTTGTCCCTAACTAGTGGGTGGCTGTCAGGTGGAAGAGTGTAGACGTGCTTAAACATCAGGTGGGAGGTTGGATTGATTAGCTTTAGAAGGTAATTAACTTTAGAAGGCAAACTAAATTTGGTGTTCACTGAATTATTTAATAGATCTAATAGTTTCTGTTCCCGGCGCTGAAACAATCACGTAAGGAAAGGCCGTCAAAAGATTAAAATCCTTCATAATTAACCTTCCTGGAGCTTTGACACAAAACACATTGCGTTGTTGGAGCCTTGGCCTGCTCTTTTCAGTGTGGCCCTTGAGCTGAATGTCACCTCAATGGTTTCAGGATACAGACCTTGCATTTCTGGCATCTGCAGTCCCGGCCCCTTCAGGGCCCTCTGTAGCTCGCTCTCTCTGCCAAATTAAAGATTTGTTGCCCAATACACAATTAGGAAGAGAATATTTCTCCCTTCTCACATAAATTTATTCTCTTTCCTACATGGAGCATGTTATTTCAATCTGAATGATGTAACAGTAAGCTTCTCAGATAGTACAAAATAATGGGCCTCCACCAACATTTTTAAATATTAAGAATTAACTGCAAGGATACATGTAGACTTCTTGACTGTCAGAGCACAGAAGCCAAACTGTATATAAACATACCCCCATTTCCAAATCCACTCTATTTAGTAGTTAATTACTTTAAATCTGAAGAATTGTCTTTTTTGCTGTTAATGAATTGTTTATCCCCTAGGAAAAACCATCAACCCCCTTCCTTTAAAAATTTGTGAAAACTATTGTAAAATGGACTTTTTAGGCAATGCCATTGCTAATAATAGATTTCAAAACATCTAGTTCCATCACACTCCTTTCCATCTTGGCAACAACAGTCACATATTTTTCAGGAATTTGGGTTTCAATTTGATTGGCCATATGTTGTTGTTTATACAACTCCCGTGGCTCAAAGAGTGGGTGATTGCATTTGTAGACTGTCCTACCAAACCCACTTCGGTCTCTGTGCATAAAGCGCGCCATTAATGTTTGTAATGAAGGGCTGCAGCCGAACTGTCTCATTTCCCCCCATTTATGCAGATCTCCGGTGTTCTTGCTCATGTATGGCTGTGTCATGCCACTGCTTTGTGCTGGAAAGTATTCTCAGCATTCGCTTTGGAAAAGCACTGTACCACACCAGGAACCTGAGTCTGTTCGTGCCCCCTCCGCTTACTATGTAATCTCCATGGGGACATCCTCTTCTGTCCACTTAGAAAAGCTCCGAAATTCGTCATTTATCATCCAACAACTTTTCTCCCACTTCTGTTGGATCCAGATCTTGGCCTTTGTGATGCTAGTGCTCCAGTCTTGTGCCTGCTCCTTTTTTGTAGGAGGAAAATATCAAACGTTTTAAGGGCTAATGTGGGGATTTTATTCCTGAAACAATTACAGAAATAATGTTGATTTTTAAAACAAAAGTTCGGCTTATATAATTCTACAGCAGATATGAACTCCTAGTAGTACGTTTTGGGCTCCATTTTCCTTTCTTGGTTCCAAGATACCTTTGGTTTTTTCTTTCAGAGATAATATTAACCTGGGCCTATATCTACATAGCTGTAATGAAGATATCATTGATTTTATTTTTCTTTTGTAATTACAAGGCACTCTATAGGTTAATATATGTGCATGTGAATGTGAATAGAATGAAAAACAAAAGGTCTTTGCCATTTATGATCCTTAGTTCCCTCCCCAGAGGCAAGCATGTGACCAGTTTCTTAGGTATCCTTCCAGAGATAGTCTTGTCTATGTGCTATATATGTCAAGGTGTGTGGGTTCTTTTCTCATAGGCACAAAGAGAAGCATACGAAATACACTGTTTTGTTTTGCTCCCTACTTTCTCTTTATTTTAACTTTTATGGGGATTGCCCCATATCAATAGCTAATTCACTCTCTTAATATTTTTTTTTATTAATGTTGTTCTGGCGATAAACGTAATACAATTCATTTTTAAAAACTTGGAAACTTAGTCAGCCCTGCCCTCACCATCTGGGTGCAGCAGTGTCGAAACTCCCACATTTCCATGTTTCTGGAGTCAAGACATGACTTTAAACCAGTCGCAGTGTGCACATGACCTCAGTAAAATGTTCCCGTGGAGGCACTGAACAGACCTGGGGTGTTTGATTGCCCTGTGTATTTTTTTCATTCTCATATGTATGATTTCTGGTCCTTTAGGCATTCATAATTAAAGCCAAACACCCATGTTGTGTGTTTAATAGCCAATGGTGTGTAAATACTTAAAAATGAGCATGAGCATTTGGTGCTGATTTTCCAAAGGTGGAATCCAGAAGCCTTTTCCAGCAGTTCCGGCAGTGATGGAAAGTACAAATGAACGGGGAGCACAGGCATGACTTGTACCCTCAGGACCCTGGGGAGTCTTAGAGCTCTGTTGGCAAAGGGCAAGGAGGTTCCCCCACACAATCATTCATATACTTAATCTAGCAGCATTCTTTATTAAATGCCACTTGACGTCCAGGCCCTGTTCAGGAATCCTGCACAGAGTCCAGCAAGGTCAGTACGGGCATAGAGGGCGGTCAGAGAGCTGAGGAGCAGAAGGCAGCTTTCAGGGTAGGCTCCACTGTGGACAGTGGGACGGGAGGATCTTGAATCTGGACATGCAGAGAAATGGGAGGGGGGGCCTCTGGGACCCCTTCACTCCTCCCCTCCAGCTTTGCTTCTTCCCTGCTATGCTGCCCCACCCAACCCTCCTCTCCCCACCCTCCAGCGTCCTGCGTAAGCAGAGGTTACCCTGGGTAAGCAACCTGACAACTATGACAGTTGGGAACTATAATTAACTCACGGTCTTCTTACCTCACATTTTCCCTGCAATCTCTTGCTTTCCCTTCTTCCAAAACTACCATCATTGTGCTGAAACACCGGGCTCGTTATTAGTGCAGTGAATTTAAGTTCTAGATCTCAGCAAGATGTGGTACAGCATCAGTTTATTTACATGTGATCTCTTGAGTGCTGGGCATATTTTATTAACCGTTGTAGATTTAACGTCGTTTTAAGTTTTTATTAAAAACATCCTTTTAATTTTAGCCTGCAGCTGCTTTTCGCTCATTAAAATGTGTTGTACCTCTGTTAATGAAATTGATGATGGGTTTGTTTTTTTTTTTCCTCCTTTCTAGTTATGAAAAACCTCCTCCTGGGCTTATCAAGGTCAGTGTGAAGTTTCTGCTTTGGGCTCTTCTCTTAGACATATCAGACTCAGAGCTCAGACTCAGTAACTTGTTATGAAAACGGTTGCATAAGGCTTTGCACCTCTTGTTACGATAACCCTGTTTCTTCCCTGCAGATGCCGATCAGACACTCGGGCTTAGTCACCAGCCTGTGCCTTTGTAGAAATTTAATCAGCTGTGTGTCTGTTCCTTAAGAAACGCCGCAGGCCCACGTCTGCTCCTCAGGACCCCTCCCCTTCTCTCTCACTTCTGACAGCATCTTCTCAAAGCTCTGCTGTCCCGTGCTGACTCTCTGACTCCCCTGGTGCTGGTTCCTTGAATGTCATCGGCTTAGGGAACAGTAGACTCTGAAGCTCATCTCCGTCCAGCCTTCCGTCCAGCCTTCCGTCCAGCCTCCCGGGGTGCAGGAGCTCCTCCTCCAGCACCCCGGCCAGCGTTGGTCTCTCTGCGGAACTGAGACTTAGAGTAGTTCAAGGCCAAAAGCTATCTTTTCTGTTTGCTTAATTTCAATTTTAAAAAAAGATTTAAAAAGACATTTTCCAATATACATTTAATACTCATGGAAGCTAAAACATAGAAAAGCTCCTTAACTGTAAATGTGGTTACTCAGTGGTGAAAGCGTGTATCAGAGACACAGCACATGTGACTAGAAAACCTGACAGTGACCTTCAAGGTCTAATAAGCCATTTTAACATAACGTGCCGTTTTTATTATCCAGCTAGCCTTGTCTGCTCTAATTCTCATATCCTGCCTCATTCCACAAAGATTTTGAGGTAGTAAAACCGTTTTGGGTCTTAGAATCTAATTTACATTAGAATTTTGAGCTCGCGGGTCATTCCTATATGAAGGACAGGTTTTATTCTGCTTCACGAGTAACTTCTGTGTAAGAACAGCTACTTCATTTGTGCGATCCGGTTCTTCTGGTACATTCCTCTCCGTTTCTCCTGTCAGGTCTCGTTTGTCTTTCTAGTCCTTGAGAGGGTGACTGGTGACAGCCTTGGGATCTCTGGCCCATGGGAAAGCCAGGCCGCGCTGTGTTCTGAAGTGGGGGTGGAGACGGGGTGGGGGAGTGTGCGGGGTGCCAGGGCTTTTGTGCCATGTCGCTGACACGCCGTTTCCTTGTTTAGGAAGATGAGACCAAGCCAGAAGACTGTATACCAGATGTGCCAGGCAACGAGCACGCCAGGGAATTTCTGGCTCACGCGCCAACCAAGGGGCTCTGGATGCCACTGGGGAAGGAAGTCAAAGTGATGCAGTGTGAGTGCGAAGTGTCAAGTAGCACTCCTGAACACGCGCACGCCACACACCGCGACTCACGACGCGTGTTTCTCTAACTCGTTCTCGCCACAGCGCTGTCACGGTCATGGCCCGATCTCTGTTTCACGCATTCGGAAGCCGCCGTGCACGTGTCAGTAAGAGGTGGCGAAAGCTCTGACCCCAGGGCGTCCGGCTCCAGGGGTGGTCTTGGCGCAGGACCGTAGCTGCCTTTGGAGTCCACCCGTCAGTCCTGTTCTGCCGACAGAAAGGCCCTTCCGCGTTAGAAATGCCGTGGGGGACCAGGGTGCCCTGGAGGGCGGGTCCCTTTGGGTGTTGCCTCGGTCGGTCCCCCTCCATCAGTGCTGAGGTTTCATCCGCGTAAGCCGAGCAGAGCTTACGGGCCACAGAGGACGAGTGTGGAGCAGGTAGAGATCTGCGGGCACCTCCCACACACACCCGAGCAGCAGCCCCTTCGCCAGCCTAAGATGGCATTTGAAGAAAGGGCACTGCTGCCTCTTTAAGACACTTGTTTGTAGAGATTCATCGTGCACATAATTAAAACAGCAGTTCCCAGTCTCTTTTTCTCCGTTCCCACTTGAAGCTCTTTTAGTTGGTTATTTTTATATTTATCTTCATAACATCTAAAGATCATGCTTGTGTTATATATATTGATTTTCCAGGTTCAGGCATTATCTTGTTGTAAACAGTAACTCTGAGATCAGTATCTGTAATCTTCCTAATTAGGCTGGTTAGGTTTTCACAGCAAAGTCATTTCCTGCCGAAGATGAAGGCCACATTCCGTGTTCTGGGAACCGATGTAAGGAACAAGGCTGTGAAGTCTCAGCATCCAGCATTCAGTCATTCACATGCTCTTCCTGTGTGCATTGCCTTCCAATATGCCTGACAGCTCCACAGCCAGAGACTCTGCTCGCCTTCTCCAGAGAATGAACCTCCTTCATACCAGGATTGGGGAGAGATGCCAGCCATGAAGAGAGTACTCCTCAGAAACCAGCCATGCTGGCACCCATCTCCAGCACTGTGAGAAAATAAATGTCTGTCGTTTAAGCCACCCAGTCTATATTTTCTTATGGCAGCCTGAGCTAACTGAGACACCAGCATTTTGCAGTTTCCCTTAGCCTCTTCCTGTGTTGGATCTCCCGTTTCCTGTATGTTGAGCCATCTTCTTTGTTGTTATAGTTTCTTATGGTGGAGTGTATCCACCACGGCTTCCTTTGAAATGGGTTTATAGGAGATAAAATATTCAACACTGGAAGCATCTTCATTTTACAGATGCTTTCATTTGCCAGTGTGTAGAACGCTAGGTTAAAATCAATTTTCTTAATATAATCTTATATGTAGAAAACCCTAAAGATGCTACCAAAAAAAAAAATATTGGAGCTAATAAATGAATTTGGCAGAGTAGTAGGATATAAAGTCAATACGCAAAAGGCAGCTGCATTTCTGTACAATGACAATGAACAATCTAAAAAGGAACTTACAAAAATAGCATCAAAAAGAATAAAATACTTAGGAATTAACTTAACCAAGGAGATGAAAGACTCATTCAATGAAAACTATACGAATTGCTGAAACTAATTAAAGATGACATAAATAAATGGCAGCACTTCCCATGTTTATGAATTGGAAGACTTAACATTCTTAAGATGTCAGTACTACCCAAAGAGATCTCCAGAGTCAATACAATTACTATAAAAATCTCAATGGAATTTTTTGCAGAAATAGAATAACCCATCCTAAAATTCACATGGAATCTCAAGGAACCCTAAATAGCCAGAAGAATCTTGGAAAAAAAAAAGAATAAAGCTGAGGGACTTACACTTCTTGATTTCAAAACTTACTACAAAGCTATACTAATCCATACGATGTGGAACTGGCATAAAGGTAGACATATAGACCAATGGAATAGAATAGAGAGCATATAAATAAATCCTTATTTATATGGTCAAATGACTTTTGACAAGAGTGTCAAGACCATTAAATGGGAAAAGACAGTCTTTTCAACAAAAGGTACTGGGAAAACTGGATATCCATATGCAAAAGAATGAAGTTGGACCCTTATCAATACCATGTACAAAAATTAATCCTAATTGGATCAAAGACTTAAATGTAAGACCTAAAACTATAAGACTCTTAGAAGAAAACATAGGGCAAAGCTGCAGAAAATTGGATTTGTAATGATTTCTTGGATAAAACAGCAAAGGCACAGGAAACAAAAAAAAAATTTGATTTCATGAAAAATCAAAAATACTATGAATAAAAGACATTAATAGAGTAAAAAGCAACAGCAGAATGGGAGAAAATATTTTCAAATCATATATGTGATAAAGGAGTATATCCAAAATGTATAGAGAACTGCTAACTCAACAATAAAGAAACAACTTGATTAAAATTTGGCAAAGGACTTTGAATAGACATTTCACCAAAGAAGATACAGATACAGGTAACCAATAAAACCCTGAAAAGATGCTCGACATTCACTCATCATTAGGGAAATGCAAATTAAAACCACAATGAGAAAGCACCTCACACCCATTAGGATGGCTGCTATCAAAAAAAAAACCCCAACAAAACAAAAGTTGGCAACAATGTGGAGAAATTGGGACCTTTGTGTAGTGTTTGTTGGAGGAAACATAAAATGGTACAGCCGCTATAGGAAAAAGTATTGCGGTTCCTCAAAAAATTCAGAACAAAATTATCATGTTATTCGGCCATTCTACTTCTAAGTATATACCCAAAAGGACTGAAAATAGGGTCTTGAAGCAATATTTGGACACCCGTGTTCATAGCAGTATTCACACTAAGGTAGGAGGAGTGTCCATCAACAAGTGAGGAGACAATGTATATAGTATATACATTACAATGGAAGATTATTCAGCCTTAAAAAGGAAGGAAATTCTTACATATGCTACAACATGGATGAACCTCAAGAGCAGAATGCTAAGTGAAGTAAGCTAGTTATGAAAAGATAAACTATGATTTCACTTATATGAGGTACTTAAATCAGTGACAAAAAATAGAGTAGTGATTGCTGTCTATTCACGGGGTGGGGTGGGGTTGGAGAGTTATTCAATGGGGATAGAGTTTCAGTTTTACAAAGTGAAGAGAGTTATGGAGATGGAAGGTGGTGATACTAAGTTTTATGCTCCTTATACAGGCATACCTCATTTTATTGTGCTTCGCTTTATTGCATTTCACAGATTTTGCGTTTTTTTACAAATTGAAGACAAGACTCTCCTCCAGCAAAAAGATTACAACTTGCTTTATTGTGATACTTGTTTATTGCTGTGGTCTGGAACTGAACCCACAATATCTCTGAGATATGCCTGTATTTTACCACAATTTAAAAAAAATTAGAACAGTTCAGAGTGGTAAGTAGAACTCCAATTCTGGTTTGAACTGTGCGGGTCCACTTATACGTGCATTTTTTCAATACTGTAAATGTATTTTCTCTTCCTTATAATTTTCTTAATAACATTTTCTTTTCTCTAGCTTACTTTATTGTAAGAATATAGTATATAATACATGTAACTTATAAAATAAGTGTTAATCAAGTTTTAGGTGATCGGTAAGACTTCCAGTCAACAGCAGGTAAAGTTTTGGGGGTGTCAAAAGATATATGCGGATTTTCAGCTCGGGTTAGGGCTGTTTGAGGGGATCCAAAACCCAGTCTTCCCCCTTCAGGGGGTACAAGGCTGCTGCTTTTCACAGCTGTCATGGTTGCAAGGCTGCTGGTTTTTAAGACTTGTGGAAGTAATGAGAGAGGGTTGGGAGTCGGGCCAGGTAAAATGGCAGAAATCCTGCTGTTCGTACCAACGTTCACTAGCTTTTTTTGAATTAATGCTCTTCAGATTGTGTTAAGCCTTTGGTTAATTTCCAGGATTTCAAATAGGTTGATTTGGGCAAATTCGGAAGAACAGATTTATGGAGGTTGTCACTTGACCATTCTTGAGCTACTAACTTCCGGGCTTGTTCTTTTTGAACATAATTCTCTTATCGTTTCTACAGTCTCTCAGGAAGGGAATGAAAGCAGATAAATGTGTTTAGTCTGGCATCTTTACCCCAAAGTCTACAGCTTTTTTTTAAGTTTGAAAACCACTACTCTTTCATGAGGTGGTTAGTTGCATTTCACTTACCATTTTATAGTTATTTGTACTGACTTTGAAAATACGAGTGTTTGAGTTGGGATCAGAGCCAGATTTGCCAAGAAGTAAATAAAGCTCGAGCTTCAGGACCCCATGGTTGGACCTTCCGAAGGTCTGCAGAACCTGAAGCGATGTGTTCAGGTAGTCATGATTTTGTAAAATTTGCCTAGGCAAGATTTTTTTTCTTTTCCTAAAGAGCCCTTGCCCCCCAAATAATTTAAGCTCAGGCCCCACAAAACTTGGACTCATCCAGATGTGATAAAATATACATATACGTATACTGTACATATCTTCATTCATTTTATTAATTGTAATGTTACCTAGAACAGTGGTTCTCAAACTTTAATATGTCTACAGACCACCAGCAAGTCTTCTGAAATTCAAGTATCTGTCCATATTATTTCTGGGGTGGGCCTAGTGCTTTGCATGTCTACTAATCTCTCACGTGATGTCGATTTTCTAGGTTCTTTCATGGATCATTCACTGATTACATTTGCTTTTAGAATTGGAGTTTAATGAAGAAAAACTTTAATATGATCTACTGATTGTTTATCTTCATCAAATGAAACTATGTTATCTTACAGAAATATTTCCTTTTTTCTTTGTTTTTAGGTTGGCGTTGTAAACGGTATGGTCACCGAACAGGCGACAAAGAATGCCCTTTTTTTATCAAAGGCAACCAAAAGTTAGAACAGTTCAGAGTAGTAAGTAGAACCCCACCATGTCCATTTACGTGTATCAGGGATAGTGAATATCAAGAATCAGCCTCGCAGCGTGAAGTGCAAGTTCACATAAAATGCATTCCCAGCGTATCTGGTGCTCTCTACATCTCTGTTGAATTACATTTGTGTGATGGAGTCGTTTATTAACAAAAAACTAACTTCTTATTAAAGTGTTATTTGCTTATGCCTTGGGAACACTGCTTCTTTTTCTGAAGCAGACATTGTTATCCACTTTTTACTTATTATGTAAAAAAATGTTTCATAACTAAAATCAGGTTTTAGCTTCCCAGTCTTCATCTAAAGATTAGATATCTTTAAATTATAAGTTATAAGTGTGTATGTAAATTATATATGCTCTTTAGATGACAGTAAAATATATCTCATTTCCTCACTTTGATGGAGTCATTTCCCAGAAGTGTTAATTCACCATTCAGTAACTAATGCCAAGCGGAATATGCTGCTGTGTAGATATACTGAAGTTATCAGCATATATCAAACTGGGGTCAACAGACATTCTCCAAAGTTTCTTAGACGTTTAAAATATTTTAATTTTATTTTTTAATAATCTGAAGTAATTATTTTTTTGGCTCAATCATTTCACTTCTAGGTTGAATGTCAATTTTTATAGGTACCAGTCAACCCCCAGGCCGTGGACTGGTCCTGGTAACTGGTAGCTTGTTAGGAGCCAGGCCACACAGCAGGAGGTGATTGGTGGGTGAGCGAAGCTTCATCTGTATTTGCAGCCGCTCCCCAGCGCTGGCATCACCACCTCAGCTCCACCTCAGATCACCAGGCATTAGATTGTCACAGGAGCACCAACCGGTCCCTGGTGCCAGAAAGGTTGAGGACCACTGCTATAGAACATAGTTTGGTGAAAAATCTCAAAATCTTTAAACATACTCTTTTTTTTTTGACTTAGAAATCCCACTTCTAAGAATTTACCTTGAGGATATAGGAGAACATCAATACATACACAACTGATTATGTATGTACAAGGATAGCTTGTATGAACATAAACAAAAAATGGAAACTAAAGAAAAATAGGAAACAACTTAATAGTCCAACATATCAACATAAATTACTGTAACAAGTTATTTAGCCATTGGGAATTACATTTTAGAAGAGTGTATAATGTCAGGAAAATGTTCATGACAAAAGGGAAAAGCAATAGAGCTGTATATATAAAATGATTATAATTTTTCATAAATTATTAAAAATGAAGGAAACACCACGTGTTAATAGTAATTATCTCTGGGTAGTAAGGTAATAGATTTTTTTTTAATTGATTTTTTCGGTAACATCTGAAATTTCTACAATAAACTTTTTTTTTAAATTGAGATAATTCGCATATAACATTTCCCATAAATGTGTTCTTATTTTTAAGTAATTCAAGTCACTTTAAATTATCTGTACTTCTGATATACTTCCAGACTTAGGGGTACTTACCATATATTTTTGTGTACTGTAAATGTTTCACTCATATATCATCTTACAACTCACTTGTTTTTTTAACTCATCTCTTAGTCATCTATCCATATAGGACAAAGAATTACCTCAATAATTCTACTTCGAATAGTAGTTCATGATTCTGCCATGGTGTATTTCCTTATAAAAGATATTTAAATTGTATCCTATATTTTTCTAATTGGAAAGTCCGTTTCACAGCCTCAGTGAGTTTGTAGTAATGGTGACCCTTAGGAAGAATTAGAACATAGTGAACAAAAAACTAAACCAAACTGGAAAAAATAACTGGTTTTAGTAACATAGAGATATAATTTTTCTTTAACTAACAGTCCATGAAGACTAATCAAACCTTAACCTTCTCTAACCCTCAAGGCACATGAAGATCCCATGTACGACATCATACGAGAGAATAAAAGACATGAAAAGGATATCAGGTGAGGTTGTCCTGATAACAATACCCTCTTCACCTTTTAAATTAAGTTGGAAATAACCATTCCAGAACAGAGGAGTGGTTTAATAAATATGGCACTTTAACTGTGAAACACTTGGGGGGCAGGAGCAATGCTGAAAAGGCCGGTGCGGGGCGGGGCGGGCCGGGCGGGATGAGCAGGTCAGCTCATTCTGCTTGGGTTCGCCTCTCACACTGGGCTTGGCCCAGGCCACTCATGCCGCTGACAGGTGATGCTGGCAGCCCAGGTTGTGCTGTCCGGTTCTACTCTGGGACTGAGTCTCTCTCACATGATCTAGTGTATCCTCTCCAATGTCTTAAAAGATCTTAGCCATTGTTAAAAATTATTCCTAGACATGAATAAAGACGGAAAAAACAGGAGGTTTTTTTTTTTTCCCAATTGGTGATATTGAGCCATCACTGTTGAGGAGATAGATTACCTAATATAAACTTGCGCAGTGGGAGAAAGATTTAGGAAACTATGTATCTGTTAGAAGTTATAATAGTAAGGACCACAGAAACATGCAGAAATATTTCAGAAGACGAAAATAATACAGAATTCCTTATGCTTGTTACAGTCCTGTAAAATAGGCATGAACGTGGACAGGAATGGGGAAAACAAGCAAAAATAAAAATAAGTACTGTGTTTAATGAGGTGATTATTTGTGACCTTTTTGTTACTTTCACTACTCATATCTAAAAACAATTTTTTTAAGTTGTTACGGTTGATGGTTCTTTGACCGATCTTAAATGTTTAGGATACAGCAGTTAAAACAATTACTGGAGGATTCCACCTCAGATGACGATGGAAGCAGCTCCGGTTCCTCAGAATGTAAGGAGAAACACAAGAAAAAGAAGAAAAAGGAAAAGCACAAGAAAAAGAAGAAAGAGAAGAAAAAGAAGAGAAAACGAAAGCATAAGTCTTCCAAGTCGAATGAGAGTTCAGACTCGGACTGACAGGCGCTTGACGCGTTCAGCTGTCCCGTCTCAGGTCAGACTCTGCGGCCCACGCAGAGGAACGTGGGCTTGGAGGGGACCGGGAGAGGAGGAAGGGTGTCTGGCGTCACGCGTGTGATTTCTCACTCACCTTCCAGTGGAGATGTGACCACAGGAGAGTGAGTTGTGTCCTCCATTGCTGGCTCCAGAGATGGCCGATTTCAGGCAGGAAAGCTCTCTTCAGTGCCGTCCTCCCTGCTGGTCACCGTGGTTGGTGATGCCTTAGAAATGTCAGGGTGGCCGGACGAAGGGATCCCTGAGGACGCTCCTCCAGGTGCTGTCACCCTCCATAGTGAGGCTACCTAATTCCCACAGACTTCAGCCTTGGCTTTTCTCTGTTGTTGAGGATAATAAAAGCCCATTCTTCTATTTATTTAAAAAATGCTAATGTATTTATTTTTGAAACATAATCTACTTACGTGGACCAAATTTAAAAAGTGCATTAGATTCAATCATAAAAACCTTCCTCCTCTCTCCCCGCCTCAGTTCCCTCCCCCAGTGGCTAACAACATTCCCACTTTCTTGTGAAGTCATCCAGAAACATTTTACATATCATAAGCATTTTTTTAACATAAATGTAGCATACTATAAACATTTGTTGGCATAATATTTCTTTTTCATTTTTTAACTCAACAGTATAAAGCATGTTGGGCCTTGCTGCACACCAAAGGCCTGTGTTCATAAACCCCCAGCATGATTTTTTTTTTTTTTTTTTTGCGGGGAAGGGTAAATATCATATAATAACAGTGAAAAATCATGTATTTAACTTGCTTAGAACTTATTGCCATTATCCCATGATTATTTTTATTCCCAGAATAATTAGCTCTAAAAGATATTAAGGATAAAGGGATTTGTGTACTACCCACATCTCAAGATACATCCTCATCCTGTTGGCTAAGCACAGACCACTTGAAAACTTCTGGCTTTGTGCTGCAGCCGAGGCAGCTGAGCAGGCTAGGGAGGGTGTCTGTTCTTTGATGAGCCAAAGCCGTTGGATCCTGCTTATGGGCAGGTTCCTCCCTCTCCACCAGGGTCTGTTGCTGTTTCATCACTCAGGGTCCCAGAACCTGAGCATTCCCTCTTTCTCTTTCCCGGGGGTCTGGATTACCCGCCTCTTTAAAGGGTAACTGATGCAGGCTGGGCTGGCTTCTTCCCCCACTCTCTTTAGTAATTGCTCCTGGCCCTGGCCTTAGAAATATATCTTATAACACAATTGGCCCAGATTGGAATCTTGTTATTTCTGAAAACCCTAAGGCCAGTTAATTCAGCCATGCCTTACATTTAACCCTTGGCATCCTAGCTCAGCATGCAGCAGAAAAATTTGTCCTTCTAGAAATTTTCTTTATTCTGCTGGTTCCCACTTACATTAAACATTGTTACAATTTGGAACATCAAAGACTGGAACGTGTGCGACATCAGAATCACCTGGAGGGCTCGTTAAAACAGGTGCCTGTGCCCTACCCCTAGAGTTTCAGAATTTCTGATTTGCCGGTCTGGGATAAACTGGTGAAATTTGAATTTCTAACCAGTTCCCAAAAGATGCTGTTGGTTTGGGGACCAGACTTGGAGAACAGGAGCTCTAAATGATTAACCTCTTACCGAAGGCTTCCTCCACTTCCTGTTTTAACCGGAATCTCGCCGTCCACTGTAGCCCTTGCAAGTTAATTCTTGTCTCTTCTCCTTCACTCCAGGTTTCTCTGTCTTCTGTTTCTGGCCGAGATTCTGTGGCCTGCCTCTCTAGCCTGTCACCTCCTTTCGCCCAGCTTACCTGTTAGAACCTCAAACCACACTCTTCCTCCTCTGCTCCAATTCCCCAACCACTCAGTCCGTAAAGCTGATGAATCAAATTTCTTCATCCCCAAATCTCTCCCCTCGGACTCTGTACTCTCAACTCCTGTTCAGGAAGCCACCAGACCTCCCTGACCAAGGTTTCCTACAACCTGTCATCATGGTTGTAACAGAATTGTAAAACCACCCCAAGGCTGGCAGCCTAAATCCATGGGACTATGCGACTATAATTATAATGGATTTTACTCCCATGATTAGGTTGTTACAAGACACAGATGACCTTTTCAAAAGGTGATTATGGGTAGTCAGTCAGGACCAAATCACATGAGACTTTTTTAAACCATGGGGGTTTTTTTTTAGGTAGCTAAGAGGAATTCAGATTTTGAGCTTGAGAAAGACTTGATGTGCTCTTGGTGGCTTTAAAATGAAGGGCCATATGGCAAAGAATGTGGCAGTTTCTAAGAGCTGAAATCAATCCCTAGCTGACAGCCAGCAAGGAAATGGGCACCCCAGTCCTATACTCACAAGGAACTTAATTCTCCTCACTGTTGCAATGACTTTGGACACATAATCTTCACCAGAGCCTTCAGGCAACAGCCTTGGCCTGCCCACAATTTATGTGGCATTTTAGGAGGTGTTAAGCAGAGAAGCCAGTCTAGCCTACCTAGATTTCTGTCCTACAGACCTGTGAAATAACAAATAGGCATTGTTTTTAGTTTTCACTTTTTAAAAAATTCAAGAACTTTTTTTTTTTTTTACAAGTTTTCACAACAAAATTGAGCAGAAAGTGAACAGCGATTTCCCATATATCCTCTCTCTCTCCTCCGACCTGTGTCGACACTAACAGTACGCTTGCACAGTCAGTGTGCTAGCCAGACACTGGTTCCCACAGGTTTCTGCTCCAGTAAGTTGTGATTCTCTGTATCTGCCGACCTTTCCCGTTTCTGGGTCAGTAGTTTGCCCTGTGACCTCAATTCTCTGATGGATTTAAGATTTGATTTTCTTAGTTTGCTCAGCTTTCTACTTGTTAGGCTGGAGTGAAGACTTCTAAGCTCCTCACATGCCAGATAGAAACCAGAAGTCAATAGGTATTGTTTTTAGCCACTACATGTGTGGTAATTAGCAACTGTCTACAAGTCCAGAAGCTTCTTGAGGGCACAGACTGTCTTTTTTGTTGTATGCTCACTTAACACGTGTCACACATGGTGGTGTTCAGTGCGAATTAATTAAAAGTATGGTTACATCCCCCAGTTGGAACGATTTGGAAGTTGTAGTGGAGGATGTATTGTGCCCTTGTATCTGCCTCCCAACCCCTACCCTTCCCTTCAAGGACTAAAAAAGTATTTACTCTCCCCGCTGCTGGGACCATTGACAGCTGACAGTTTACAACTGACTTTGCCTTCCCAGTGATTCTTCTTTCTTGAAGAAAACTCATCTACCCAAGGTCATGCCTCTTTTACAGGAGCATCTTGTATCACAGTGACCGGTCAATGCTGGGATGTAAGGTGTGGCCTCTGGCCCCAGCTGGGACAGCTGCAGGGTTGTCGCAGCTCAGGGAGTCTCAGAACGGGCGAAGACTTTTGTTGTGACTGTGTGAATCCCACTTCTCCCTCTGCTTGATCTTGCTTGCTTTGACCCCTCAAAGATGTCATTCCTCAAAGCCTTCCCCATTAAATTTCCTGCACACGAATCTCCATCTCAGAGGCTGGTCCCAAGGAAATCAACCTGCCACAGGGGTGCAGTAGCCACTTGGGAAAATGAAAGTATAGGTCTTATCAGAAGTTAACCTTTCATTTTGAACTCCGTTTTCCAAACGTCTGCTTGGCTTTTTATCTAGCCTCTAGGATAAAGGGAAGACTCTGGGAAGGATTACAAACCAGGAAAGTGTTCGCTAGAACTAGCCTCCTCTTTTTGTGCTTCCTCTTTCATATACTGGCACTGGCGTCTTCCCCAACTTCTAGGGTCTAACACCTTCCTACTAGCCAGGGAGCCCCAATTAAGTGCCTTGAGTTAATGCACCCATAACACTTCAAACTCATACTTCGCAAGTGTCAAAAAGGCAATCAGATTCAACTCATTCATACTAACACACCAAGGAAAAGCCATTCCTTCCTTTTCTCAGGGGAATTCATGGGTGAATGAATCAGCAGTTTCCGGTGGGAGCAGAGTTAGAGCGGTGGAATGCCTTCCTGGTGCCCATGAAAGCGAGGAAGTCGGGTGCTCTGGGCTCCGGGCTTCCCTAGTCTTCAATTCTGTAGTCAAAGCGTTCTTTTCTCAGCCCTTCCTCCCAGGTGTGTTTGCTGGGCTTGGAAGGGCGGGAACCGTGACCTCAGGGCAAAAGCTGTTAATCTAAATCGACACTAAACCATTCATTTACAAATGCTGAGTGTCGGGTTCAGCTCTAGACCAACTATTCCAAGGAAGGAGATTCCGCAGTGGATTCCGCTCTAAGGAATATATGGTCTCCTTGGGGGTGAGAATATTCCAAGTCTCACGTGTTATATCCTGAAATGGGGTATGAAAGTGAAAACGCAGGCGATATTGGAACACAGAGGACAGGGATCGGAGGTGTTTCCCTGGAGTATTAAACCAAATCTTGAAGTAGGGGGCAAGACAAAAGTCATAGACCTTCTCATTCAGACCAATTTTAGGAACAGTATCTTGTTTGCCTTTTTGCATCTCACCTGAAAAAATGATTGTTATCTACTTGTTCCATCTCAAGAGGTAGGTGGTTACTACAGGGAGTTAAAAATATAGGGTAGTGTCATCACAGGGTAACATAAGAGGCAAAACCAGCAGCCCCACTTGTATGTGTATTACCATACTGTCCATACAGTACCCAGCCAGCCTTTCTTGAAGGCACACCCATGCTCTCTCCCACATCTGCCCTGTTCTTTCAAATAACCTTGGGAGAGCCTTCAACCACAGATAAACATTTCTGGCACCTAGTGAGACAACCTGTATGATTCGTTGGGAGACTCGTTTCTAGGTCCAAGGTTCTGAGTACAGAGAACTTTTGTTTGCAGAAAGCTTCCTGTTTCTAGGAGCATACAGCAGTTGGAAGTAAAGGACATGGTACTAGAACCCACCCTTGGACACATCAGTGTTATTATCTGGTCTCTCCATCTATAAAAAGGAGCAAGGCATAATCTCTATCCCCAGGGCAGGTCCTGTTTATGGAGAATCCTTCATCTGTTCATTCTGTCAACTCCACCATCCCTTCGCTTTATCTAAAGGTCCCTAGAAATTATAAAACAGGATACATATAGAAGCATACACAGATGACCCGACCACTTTATTCGTGGTATTATCAGTCATGTGCCCATATTGGGAAAGGAAGAAAATGCTTAAGAATTGCACACATGCAATTCAATTTATTAACTGCTTTACAACTTAAAATTCCAGTGGCTTGACAATGTCACATTTTCTTAACTTGGTTGTTGGTATAATAGCTTTATTAGTTCAAACTAAGAGAGATATCAATGTTCTAAACCAAACATGACATTGCAACATTTACATTCATCGAGCCTTTGTAGATGAAACTCATATTAGTTTTCTATGAAATAACAAAACATAGTTCCTTAAAATGGTTGTATAACAGGCTCAAGATATACAAGGAATCATTACCAGCATCTTTAGTTTTCATTTTTAGGATAAAGCTAAAAGTCTTGAGTTCCTCCTTGTTACCTTTCTACTGCCTTCTGGTGATGACTCTGGGGAGCCCTCCAGCTCTGCATCCTGGCACCAGCTCCTATCACACTGGATGGCTTCGTCAACTTTGTTCAACTGGGCCACACAGGAAGTAGAGGGAACAGCTCCCCAGGGACTGCTGTGCTCTCCCATTTCATCCAGCTCCATATACCACACTGACTTTTCCCACGTCCCTTTTCTACTATCTTCTGGTGCTGAATCTGGGGACCTCTTCAGCTCTGCATCCTGCCAGGGGCTCATATCACACTGGATGGCTTCATCAACTAGGCCACCCAGGCAGCAGAGGGAACAGCACCCTGGGGATGGCCGTCCCTCTGTCCCACTTCATCTACTTTCTCAGGGAGGTTGTGGCTCCCCCTGCTGTTGTCCGGCTACCTCTCCCCAGTGCTAAGGGGCTTCTGGGATTCAGACTGTACGCCCAGGTCCTTGACTGCTTCTGTGCTGGCAGACAGTGGTACTGGCTCCTGAAGCTTGTTGACACCTACACTAGACAGGTACAATTCTGAGCTCAGGGTATTCTGGATCTCATCTCTGTCTTTTACTCCACCTGGAGATGGCGGGATTTGGGGAACAGTTACGTACCCCTTCTTTTCTTTATCCAAGTTCACTTCCGTGGTTAGTCCTGACTTTAACATCTCATCCTATCTTAGAACATCATGGCGCTGCTCTGACTGGACAGCTCTTTGTTCATCTTCATATGTAACACGGTCTTCGCCCTCGTCGGGGTTACCCGGCATGCCCCAACTTTCCCATGAACTCTGTGAAATCCCACTGTGCAGTACCGCGTTCTCTGGCATGGCTTTACCGTAAGCCAGGTCACGAAAATGCAGTTTCTTTCAGAGTCTTCCAGAATTGTGTTACATGAGACCCTTTGTCCTCTCCCATCCTCATTTTCTTGTCCTCAGATGCAGAGCTTCCTTGAGGTGCATTTCCATGCAGAGGAGGTCTTACCATGCGGCTCCCGCTTCCGGGCAACAGAGGACCAAGCCCCATCTGTTTCTTCCACAAGATCGTCAGTTTCTATGTCAGTATTAGAGCAGAGATACCGGTCACCTGACCTACGTCCCGGCTCTTGCCTTCTGATTCTAAGTCTTGTTTTTCACTCATTTCCTCAGCCTGCTGAGGTTCAGTTTGAGTCTCTTTTGTTTTCATTTTTTTTCCCACAGTCACTACCGTGCCAGAACTGTGCTGAATCGTAACACACAGGGAGTACAGGTCTGCGGTCAAGGGTAGTGGGTGATGGGACTGAGGTATGAGGAAGCCAGGATACTCACTGCGCACCACTGAATGTGGAAAATACAGGCTTCCATTTCTGAATCCTAGGAAAAAGATATGGTAGTCATTTTGTCACCTGCAGCCAGTCACAACATTCAGCCAGGATGCACCTAGACGGCACACAGCGGAGCTGGTAACTGATGGCCCCCGGTTCCTCCCCAGACATCCCAGAATGATAAATGAAGGAGCAGTGACTGAAACGTGGGCCCCCGAACCCTTCTTCAGCACTAGAGTAAGCATCTGCTCTGACTGGTAGGTTCCCAGGCCACGTCAGTTACCCGGGACGTTATATCACTCAGACTTACTGACTCTAAATTAAAAAGAGACCCAGCACGCACTAAGCATAATTCAGGCCTGTCGTGGTTTCACAAAGAATAATTCATGTCAGGCCTTACGAAGTGAAGAGGAGCGAAAGTTCTTTGGATTCCAGAACCCTTCTACACCTGCTTATTCGCCACCATTCACACACGTCCCCCCATTTCCAGCCTTCAGGGGTGATCACTGCAACGGTGCCAGTGACAGACACGTTTTCCTCATGCAGATACATCCTTGGGGAAGGCATCTGATTTTGCAGGAACAAATTTAACAGCTGACAAATGAAGCTACAACTATAAAGGAGGCAGCAGTTATGCTCAAATCAAACAGTACCGTAATAGCAGGTCCCTGCCACTAGAAACCACCCCAGAACCACGATGCAGTCACCCACAGCAAAGACACAGGTGTAGCTAAGTTCTTCTCCCTCACTAATCACCCACAGCTATCAAGCCTCCTCCTTTTAATGCCTCCCCTCTTCTGTTACCAACACAAAGGACCTGAAGTCCTCTCAAGTTTTTCCTGAATAAACTACTGGTAACTTCTTGACTCATCTCTCCAGCATCCCACAGCTCTGTGACCCATACCGCTTCCAGAATAATCTTTCTCACCCACTTGGTCCCCTCACTCCTGTCACAGTATTTGAATGGCTTGTCACAGCTTGTCAGGAAATGGGGAACGATGGCCACGTTCCTTCAGATGGCATCAGGCCCCCATTACCTGGTTTTCCCCTTTTTCATCTCATTACTCTCCCACTAACACCACAGGCTCTAGCCATGTGGGTTCCTCCACGGCACCGACTTCTCTTCCCTTTTCTGGGACATCCTCCGACTTTACTCCCAACTGCTACCAAAACCTAACTCATTTTTTTAAGAAAGGAAATCCTGCCATTTGTGACAACAGATGGACCCTGAGAGCATTTCACTAAGAGAAATCAGTTGGGCAGAGAAAGGCGATTGCTATAGGATCTCGCTTATATGTAAAAACTAGAAAAGATGAACTCATAGGAAAACAAAATAGTGGTTACCAGAGTCTGGGAGGTGAGGGCAATGGGGAGGTGCTAGCCAGGGGAGGAACCCCATCTCGCTATACAAAGGGGGAAACTGAAGCAAACACAATTTAATACTCATTTAAAAGAACCAGCCTATTTATAAGAACATAAATTCAGCCTTAATTTCAACTGTACAGCACTGTGTATTGTTTGTCCAATATTTAAAAGGTGGTAACTTCTTGATTCTGGATATGTAGGAAGCCTGAAAGTCACTCAGTCCTAAAAAGTAAAAAGCTGATCTGAAAAATGAAGACTCTTCTTAGATCCAGCATAGTAGTGAGGTTACAGGGCAAACTGCTACCCCCAATTAGAGAGACATGAGTATGGACAATCACAATTGACAAAAGCACAAACCCAAGATATAAACTTAATGGAAACTAGGAGTGGGCCAGGGAAACCTGAACTGTTACTGACAAACTTGTAGGCTCGGGGGTGACAAATCCAAGAGTTAAAAACTTCGGGGGGTGACAAATCCAAGAGTTAAAAACTTCGGGGGGTTATTCTTTTTTGAGTTTTACATGCAGTAGCTCAACCAGTTTCTCAAGGTAAATCTAGGGGGGAAATCCCCTGTGCCTCCCACGGGGAAAGGAGAAAAAGAACCGTGACATACACCAGAAGCACTCTATTCTTCAAGGTTGGCCCTCAGAGAAGCTAGTTCACAGAGCTTAACTGACCTGGGGGAAGAGAAATACCTTTCTCCAGCCCACAGTAGCCACCCTTCCAAATTCAACGAGAGGGAGAAGGTAAAGCATATGTGTAGTTTAAAGTGCAAAGACAATCCTGCTAAACGACAAACCTAATGACAGTTCTTTGATAACCGTAAAACTATGATCCCTTCTTCACCTCCAATAACTTCACACATCGCTAAAGGCCTAGTTAGGGCAATTCCTTTTACCCAGCACATAACACCTGGCAATTAAGAAAGCATTGCAAGGCATACTAAAAAGCAAACTTGTTTACAGAAAACTCACTGTAAACATAAAGACGTTGGTTAAACGTAAATGGATGGAGAAAGATGTACGATGCTAAGAAAGTGGGAGAAGCTGTATTTCACTTTAGACAGAGCAGAGACTTCAGAATGAGGAAAGTGATCAAGGATAAAGAGGGGCATTACCTAACAGGTCACTCTTCAGTGAGACATAAAAATCCCTAATGTGCCTGCCCGTGACAGAGGGTAAAACTGTGTGAGGCGAAGTGATAGAGCTGCAGAAACAGACTACTTCATCCAAAAGAATACACTGTCTCACTCACATGGAACAGTCACCAAGACAGACCACACTGCGGGCCATAAAGTATACTTTTACAAATTAGAAAAGTACATTATATAAGGTCTGCTCTTAGACAACAACTGATAATGTAGAAAAAAACAAAGGTAGCTGTAAAACTCCAAAATATTTTGAAGTAAAACACACTACTAAATAACACATGAATGAATGAATGAATGAAGAAATCTCAGGAGAAATTTAAGTTAAATCCAAAGTCAGAAAAAAAAATTAGAATAGAGTCAGTGAAATAGAAAACAAACCCAATAAGAGAAACCAATACCAAAAGCAGGTTCATTGAAAAGATCTATAAAGTTGATAAGCCTCTAGCCAGGTGAAGTAAGAAAGACACAAATTATTAATATCAGATATGAAAGAGGGCACATCACTATTGATCCCACAGACATTAATAAGATACAGGAATACCATAAACTGGTCCCCTAAATTTCATAACTAGATAAAATGGACCAATAAAGCCTGAAAGACAAAATTTGCCAAAGCTCACACAAGAAGAAATGAGCGATCTGAGTAGGCCTATATCTAGTAAAGAAATTGAATCAATAACCTCCCAAAACAGAAAGCATCGGGCCCAGAGGACTCACTGGTAAATTCTAACATTTAAGGATTACAGATAGATGGACAACAAAACAGACAGCCCACATCAATATACTCAACTGATCTTTGACAAACTAGCAAAGGCAATCCAATGGAGCAAATACAGTCTTTTCAGCAAATGGTCCTGGAACAACTGGACATCCACAAGTAAAAAAATGAATCTAGACAGACACCTTACACCCTTCACAAAAATTAACTCAAAATAGGGAATAGACCTAAGTGTAAAATGCAAAACTATAAGATGCCAATAAGGTAATACAAGAGAAGACCAAGATGATCTTGGCTATGGTGATGACTTTTTAGATGCAACACCAGTGGCACAATCTACCTAAGAACTGATAAGCTGGACCTCATTAATATTAAAAACTCTGCAAAAGGCATATCTGCTAAAGAACTATTTTTCAAAATATTCAGAGAACTCTCAAAACATTAAGAGAACAACTCAAAAAAGAGGCCACAGACCTTAAAAGCCACCTCATCAAAGAGGATATATGGATGGCAAAATACACATGTGAAAAGATGATGCTCCTCATCATATGTCATTAGGGAAATGAAAATTAAAACGAGATACAACTAAACACCTATTAGACTGGCCAAAGTCCTCAACACTGACAACACCAAAGACTAGGGAGGATGTGGACCAACAGGAACTCATTCATTGCTGGTGGAAATGCCTGTAGTGCATTTTCGCCTCTTTGAAATGACAGATGAGAATGAGGCCAACATAGAAAAAGTAAAAATCTAGAAATAGAGGGAGATAAGAGAATCAAATGATTTACGGCCTTTGATTCATTCCCTATCAAGCCAGCCTGAAGTGGCTTCACTCTTGGAATTCCAGGTCACACAAGACAATAAAGCTTATCAATTTTTTTTCACTAAAAAAAAAGTTGCAATTAAAAAAAATATATGAATCTTATTCCTACTCCCAGTACTCACCACTTTAATCCTCTTAAAACACAACTCCAAAGGACGAATATTTTAAACTTTAAGGGAATGGGGTGGTAAAAATGCAGAGGTAGACTATCAGCCTTTTAATTCAAAGAATGTTTAAGATACAATATGTATTTCTCTCTCTGAGGAATTTCCCTCTGTACCCAAGTTTTCCCTCACAATTTTTTCTTCTATACCATTTCAACATCTGTATTAATTAGGGGTCTCCAGAGAAAGAGCCAATAGAATATTTATACAGATACAAAAATTTACTTAATAAACTGGCTCATGGGTAGATGCAAGTCTAAACTCTGACAGGTAGGCAGTTTCACTGGAGACACAGTGAAGAGTTGTAGTCTGTAGGCAATTCCTTCTTGCTCCGACTGCAGCTTTGCTTGAAATAGTTGCCACCAATAGCTCCTTTGAGGACTTCGATTTCTACTATGCACCTGGGAGCAATGACTAATGAACATAAAAGAACTCCTTATCACACATAGTTTTTTACATGGAAACTGCATAATATACACAAAATGTTTTATCCACAGGAGGGGACATAAAAGTTTGTGTTTAACATTATCTTTGCTACTGGAGGTATGAGAAGGGAGAATCACCCCTTAAAGCCTCATGTCCAGCCTACAGCCCCTGTCCTGCCCTGCCTAAACCCCTTCCCATTAAACCACCATACTGAATGAAATCCTAGATGTCTACCTTCCAAACATTCTGAAGTCTTGCTTGTCAGTCTCCCCTACAAGAGTAGCCTTTTGACCTCAGTGTAATAGCTTTTACTATTCATAGGCCTTGTTGAAAGTATGACTAGGAGCTGAGATAACTCTTCCAAGCAGACTGGTCTCAAAACAAAGTTCTGGTTTGACTA